TATCTCTGTAACCCCCTCCAGCCCCTACACCCCCTCCCTATCTCTGTCACTCCTCCAGCCCCTACACCTCCTCCCTATCTCTGTCAACCCCTCCAAACCTGGCCTCTCGAGCATCCCCCGATTCCCATTACTCCACCATTGGGGGCCGTGCCTCCAGCTGCCTGGGACCCTCCTCCCAAACCTGATCTGTGTCCCCCAGCTATCGTTCGCCTGTCCCTAATATCTCCTGATGTGGCTTGGAGTCAGGTTCTGTCAGATAGACACTGCTGGGAAGTGTTCCAGTAACATGTCCTGTGTGAGAGGCACTTGCTAATTGCCTGTTTTTTTTATACAGAGACGGGAGAGGGACAGGGTGGTGGGTGTGGGGTCTGGGTTCAGGTAGTGGCCAGATCCAGCTCACCTTGCTGTGTTCCTCCCGCTCCTCCGCATGCATCCAGATGGGTTTGTTCTCACCTGTGGATAGGTACAATCACACCAACACCTTCAGCGTCTGACACACAACCTTCAGTCACTGAAACCCACCCATTCACATCCACCAGAAAGCACCTCATCCTCTCCGGGAGCCGTCCTTGCACTGTTTGATGGTGAGGGGGGAGCAATGTAGAGGGAGCTTTACTCTGTATCTAACCCCGTGCTGTCCCTCTCCCTGGGAGTGTTTGATGGGGGGGAACAGTGTAGAGGGAGTTACTCTGTATCTAACCCTGTGCTGTCCCTGTCCCTGGGAGTGTTTGATGGGGGGAACAATGTAGAGGGAGCTTTACTCTGTATCTAACCCCGTGCTGTCCCTGTCCCTGGGAGTGTTTGATGGGGGGGGACGGTGTAGAGGGAGCTTTACTCTGTATCTAACCCCCTTGCTGTCCCTGTCCCTGGGAGTGTTTGATGGGGGGGGACAGTGTAGAGGGAGCTTTACTCTGTATCTAACCCCGTGCTGTCCCTGTCCTTAGATTGATGGGGATGAGGCTGGTGAAGGGAACAGGCTGGTTGCACGATACAGATAACGAATGACCTTTGTACAGTTCTTGGAGCTGATTGGGAACGTATCCTTACCACTAACAGAGCCAAACTCCTTCTCGTGTGCTCTGGTCAGTATCTCTTTGTAGAGAGCTTCAGCCTCTTTATATTTTCCCTGTTTGAGATAACACGATGCCTGGGGAGGGGAAAGAGACAGGCATTTTGTTCAGAGAAACCACAGACATGTTTCTGACAGGGGACTCTGCACCTGACTGTGATCCGAGTTTCACAGCGACTTCACCTTCCCCCCGACCCTCCAGCACCATCCCACCACCCTGTCAGACAGTCTCCTTCACCGAGCTACAGTCGGCTATTCAGCAACAGGGGCATCACAACGGAGCTCCATCCTCTTCCTCTCCACCTCCCTCTAGACCCTGTGCAAAAGTGACCACCACCTGCTATGGAGGGATGGGCAGGGGGAGAAGCAGGAGCTGGATTTGGGGAGAAAGGAGATGGGTAGGAGGATGGTTGGGATGGGGTGGGTAGGGAAACAGAGTCAGGATAGGGAGACGGTGGGGGTTTGGGGGTGGGCAGGAAGACTGGGAAGGGATGAAGATGGGAGGTGGTGGGGGGGGGGGGGGGGGTGGGGGGGGGGGGGATGAAGAGGGGGGGTGGGGGGGGGGGAGCGGAGATGGGGGGAGTGAGATGGAAGAGGGGTGAGGCAGACGGGACGGGAGTAGGGAGGGAAACGGGACAGGACGGGGTGTTTGGGAGGCATACGGGAGGGAATGGGGAGTTGGGGGGAAAGGGAACAGGTGGGGGGAGGGGGAAAAGAGAGAATGGGGTGGGGGGGGGGGGGGGGGGGGGGGGGGGGGGGGGGGGGGGGGGGGGGGGGGCGGGGGGGGGGGGGGGGGGGGGGGGAAGAGAGATGCACCTGCCACACGTAACTCCCTCCCTCCCTCCACAAAGAAATGGGTTTGACTGCCCCACTCATTTTGGCCCATTATCCTGTGTGTAGCTCCTGGAAGCACGCAGTGCCGCCCCTACAGTTGAATAGCAAGGCGCAGTCTCCTACCAGGTTGTTCTTGGTCTTGGCCACGTTGGGATCGTCGGGCCCGAGGCGAGATTCGTAGATCTCCAGGGCGTGGGAGTAATATCGCTCCACCTCATCGTACTTGCCCTGGTTCTGGCACAGTAATGCCAAATTGTTCAGTTGCTTCGCTACATCTGGGTGTAACTTTCCCAAAACCTGCAAAACATCAAATTAAATAAACCTTGCCAGCATATAACCCCACCGCACAGCCCTCCCCACTGACGGACAGACCCCGGGGGCGGGGGGGAATCGGATAACTCCCCACCACCCAAATGAGGCCATTCAACTGGGCGTGGCATCATGCAACTAATCCGCCATGTACAGAGATGGGGTGGGGGTGGTGTTAGAGGTCACGGTCCTATAACCTCCCCCGCCCCCGCCCCCCCCCCCCCCCCAAAACCAGGGTCACATCCCAGGTGGTCTCCTATCACCGGGATCCTGGCTTGGCGTGGCGTGTCAAGGCGAACGGGAGATGGGGAAGGAGACGGGAGACGGGAGACGGGGGGCCAGGCTAGCAGTTCCAGTGCGGCTGCAAGGCCACCCAGACGGTGAGGGTTGACGAGCTGATCACCTGCATGGGGCATCGCAGCCCAGGGCCATCCTAGGATCTTCGATCTGTTTGGTGGGGACCCCAGCATGGTTCAGGCTCGGGAATAGGGGGCTGACAGGGGGTAGGGGGTTGGGGGGGTGGTGGGGGTCAGAGTTGCAGTCCTCCCAACACCCCCACTTCCCCCAGTCCATCCCATTGCATAGTTCAAGGCAAACACTGGACTCAGCAGGAGAAATCAGAGAAACTCAGAGAAATCAGAGTTAACGTTTCAGGTCGAGTGACCCTTCCTCTGGAGTTCTCAACCCAAAACGTTAACTCTTGATTTTTTTTCCTCCACAGATGCTGCCAGACCTGCTGAGCTTTTCCAGCAACTTTGTTTTTGTTTCTGATTTACAGCATCCACAGTTCTTTCGGTTTTTAAAGCATTGGATTCATTTAGCTCAGGCCTGGATTTCCAGCTGGAGCCGTTGTTGTTTTAGCTTGGACTAGGTCAGGCAGCTGAGGCTGGGAATCCTGCAGCGAGTAACTCCCCTCCTGTCTCCCCCCAAAGCCTGTCCCACCATTGACAAGGCACAAGTCAGGAGTGTGATGGAATACTCCCCACTTGCCCCTGGATGGGGGCAGCTCCAACAACACTCAAGAAGCTCAACACCATCCAGGACAAAGCAGCCCCCACTCGATTGGCACCACATTCACAAACATCCCACTCCCTCCCCCCACCGACGCTCAGTCACAGCAGTGTGTACCATCTACAAGATGCACTGCAGAAATTCACCAAAGATCCTCAGGCAGCACCTTCCGAACCCACAACCCACTTCCATCCAGAAGGACAAGGGCAGCAGGTACATGGGAACACCAGCCCCCTGCACATTCCCCTCCGAGCCCCTCACCATCCCGACTTGGGAATATATCCCCGTTCCTTCAGTGTCGCTGGGTCAGAATCCTGGAATTCCCTCCCTAAGGGGCATTGTGGATCAACCCACAGCACATGGACTGCAGCGGTTCAAGAAGGCAGCTCCCCCCCACCTTCTCAAGGGGGCAACTAGGGACAGGGCAATAAATACTGGGCCCAGGCAGCGACACCGTCCCACCCCCAACCCCATGAACAGTAACAGAGTTCGGAGTAGCCCACCTTCTCCCTGATCTCCAAAGCTCTCTTGCAGAGCGGCTCAGCCTCTTTATATTTGCCTCTCTTGCCACACAGCACTGCCAAGTTGTTGAGGGTAGCTGCAACCTGCAGGAAGTCAAATAAAATGGGTCACAACTTGAAAGAGAGAGAGAGGGAGAGGGGTGGGAGACCGGGGGGGGGGGGGGGTAGAGAGACACAGAGACAGACACAGAGCGAGCAAGAGGCAGGGACAGAGTGAGAAAGGCAGAGTGTGAGGGAGAGTGCTTGGGAGAGAGAGC